GTAGACTGTATCATAGCTCTATCAGATGTAAGAACTTCATCTCGTTCTTTATTACCGTGATGGTCGACTGATAAAACGCTAGCTTTCTCCTGCATTGTCTGAGGTTTCTGTGATCTTTGGTTGTTTTCTAAGTTTCGCAATCAGATTTCTTGAAGCTCTCCTTCAGCTTTCGTCTAATGAGTTTACAGAAAAGAGAATACTCTACTGTATCGGGCCCATCCCCCTTCATCCCCCTTGCGCTTCTCTAACAACCTCTTAGTCTCATCTGAGATTTTTCTATTCCTTATCTTTGATGTTTCTATTTCGTCTGCCTTTATGCAGCGCCTCAGTTTCTCAGCTAAATTTTCATAGTCGTTGTCGCAGTTGCCTTCAAGATTCAGTCGTTGTCCTGAATTTGTCATCTACTGTTACTTCTTCTCGACCGCTTTTTCGAACGATACACTAACCCGCACCAGTTTGTGGTCGCTGAAGGTATTAAATGATGGCATTATTCTATGTATCAGATGATCTGGTCATCTTCACGGTCTTCAGCCCTCCTCCTTTTTTATCCTGCGTGGGACCGGCAGCGGTATAGGGCCATTCCAGACCTTACCTCTATTAATTGGTTAAATGTGTCTTTCAACACTCACGAGTGTTCTACATCTGTAGAAACAAACTGCGAGAGAAGTGCGGGTCTGTTTTACAGATGGTGACCCGAGCCGCTTCTCATTGGTGGAATTTTGAATCGCCACCGTGGAAAGGTTCGAAAGACATAGAGGGTATATACCCATTTATTTGTGTTGTCACAGCGCAAGAAGCTTTGACACTCGTTCGCATGACTAATGATGGCCTAGGGAATTTTACATAGACATGTCATGCAACTCTTTCCGGTCTTTTATTGATATTCTCTCCTCTAGGCTTTGACGAACCGACGCCTTACCGAAATGTAGTAGTGACACTGACGGCCATTTTTCTTCAAGAGGGCGCCATTTTTCTTCAAGAGTTGCTTCTAATTGAAATGAGAATGTCATTGGGCAATGTGACTTTTCTTTGAGGATTGGACTTATCGAGCTCGAATCTGGCCACGCCACCCTCTTATCGCTGCTGCCTATCGCAATTGTTTATTTGTTGTAGCTACCATTCCTATCGGGAAATTGCTTCAATATCCGAAACTCGACAGATGGCTGGCAGCTGGGCACAATGATTATCATACGCATAATTGCAGCATATGCTAGAGGCGACTGCTACAAAGCTCATTGAAGCATTTCGAAGCTGGCAAACATCGTCTGAAATAATATATTACTCAACGCTCGTTCTTTAAAAATAAAGAAAATCTTTGAAATGGCGAAAGTCTGATGCCTCAGCGACGTCATGAGCAACAACGATTTTATGGAGAAGATAATAAAGTACTACCATGGAGATGTAGTACGACAGACCACTTCATCTTCATCGCAGAAAAATACTTATGGAGATCCAGCAGAAGATTCGTGTGTTGCAAGAAGAATCTCTCACCGTCGGATTGGAGGCTAATCTCTCCAAAATGAACGGGTGCGGAATGAACACTGCCCGAGGGGCTGTGTCTACAGGAATATTGAAGAAATCGACAAAGGCACTAGCTGTGTATGCCATTACATTTTTTGCTTGAATTCGTAAGCAAAGAAATCAGCAGGAAGAAAGTGACGTGGGTCACCTTTAACCGTAACTAAGCGTCCTTACTTGGCAGTGCATCTGCGAATGAGAGTGAAGAAAGAACTGCTTCATTCAATCATTTTGACTGATAAGATCTACGTTACTGATTGCTGGCTCATTACCGGAGTCGAGAAGGACAAAGAGATGATCATGCACTGATGGAGTGAGGAATGTACAAGGTGATCCTTCCAAGAGCATACACATTCGACTACACACTGAATCTAGAAGAGACGATGGGCCGGCCATAGAACTCGTTTTAGAGACAGATATTGGGCGTTGAAAGTTAGACACTGGTATCCACCAGATCATCAGCATCAATTCGATCGTCCAGGCACAAGCTGGAACGAGCCGATGGTCAAATTATTTGGGCAGATGTGGAAGAGGAAAGCGGAAAGCAGACAATATTAGACGAGCATCGACTTCTATTTTTGGCGCAATCAAAACGACGGCAAATGAGATAACGGATAGAGATGTACTCATATCATAAGACTGAAAGGTGATGATTATGATATCTTTGAACGGTAGACGCGATTAAATACTATTTACCCCCAAAGATTGTATAGGATACGCTAGCGATTGCTTTGTTGATATTTAGTATTTATTGGATCTAATGAGATTCCTTTGGATTGATCTAACTCTTAAAACATTCATAAACACTCAAACGTCATTATTTAGCATATGAAATAATTACATATGCAAATATCAACTGACCCTGAAAGATATTTGCGCCTGTAAAAGCTTTGCCACAAGATAACACTGATTATCAGGCGCAGACAAAAGTCAACGGCTTTTTGCACCGTTTGACGTAAGACTCAAAATGCATGAGAGACCCAAAACCCGCATATCTTATCAACGTTTCAGCAAGTGCTGTTCTTACGTTGTTGCAAAGGAAAACGCAGCAGAAAACGAAAGATTACCGCAATGCCGAAATCGAGTTTATATTGAATAAGAAACAGGTACTACTCGATTATTACTGTCATCATTTTCAGGCTACGCTATGATTTACGAAGTGATTGCAGCTTTGGTATTCTCCGTTTTGAAATATATTAAAACTACCTTGGTCGTGATGGAGGTAGCTGCTTGGCCTTAAAGCAGTTGCATCGGGTCTCTATGATCTGATGATCTTTCTATTGAATAAATCTAAATGTCAAAAATTATTTCATAAATCCGCGTCCTATTAATATTTCTCTATACTGCTCAGATGTTTCTAAAAAAATCATAAATATGCATAAGGGTAACTCCACTGTTGCCCGTCCCAAGCCCGGTTGAGAAAGGAGCAGAGTTGGAGACCGTGGCGAAGTCTCCAGAAAATTTCGCCACTTGCTACTCCTGGTATTTACATCATCGAAAATTATATTGACTCGGTCGTCCCCCGGGTTACCAAGGGTCGCGCAGGCTGCGAAAAGTCGGCGATCAGAACCTGCTCATCGCCCTCTGCCACCCGGGGCGCAGCAGCACAACAACCGCTGAAGAAAGCCGGCGGAACGATGACGAAGACACCAGTCAGCAAGGGAGCCAGGCAGCGCAATGAAATTTTAGCACGTCAGAAAAGGCTCCACGAGAACGACACCACTAGTGGTAGCTTGCAATCGAAAATTGGAATATATCCTGACTCAGACGAAAATAACAAGAGCTAGTTGATGAGGCCAAAAAGTACCAACTCGACATTGTTGGACCCTTGTCAACGAAGCGCCCAGGCTCTGGACTCCTGAACCTCAATGGATGGAAGCCATTCTACTCAGGCGTCGACATCTCGACTCGCGCTCAGGCCGGTGTTGGCGTTCTGGTAGAACCCAACCTTGCCGATAGAATAATCGATTGGAAGCCTATCAGCTGAAGGGTGGTAATCCTCCGAATGAACGTACAACAGGATAAAGTGTTGATCTTGTTACAGGTCTACGCGCCCAATTTCGAGGGAGCATGAACTCCTTCTTTGAGGAAGTGTGTTCTATACGATGTGCCGAATACGGAGTCCCTCATTCTATTAGGCGCTTGTCATGTACATGTCAGAGCAAAGACTGAAAAGTAGAATGATGTGGCTGGAAAGAACGGCCTAGCAACCTCAAGTTGTTGCCGTTTTGTGCGAAAAACAGATTGTCCATTATGAA